ATGCCCTTATTTCTGACCCTATCTTAATATATCCAAATTTCGACGAAACTTTTATCTTAACCACAGACGCAAGTGCCTTTGCGATCGGAGCTGTCCTCTCACAGGGTCCAATTTCGAAAGATCTCCCTATAGCTTACGCATCTAGAACACTTTGTAGCGCAGAGACGAAATACTCCACCATAGAAAGAGAACTACTCGCAATAGTGTGGGCAGTTAAGCACTTCAGGCCTTATCTCTTTGGCAGAAAATTTACCCTTGTAACAGATCATCGTCCATTAACATGGCTATTTTCCATTAAAGACCCAGGAAGTCGCCTAGCTCGTTGGCGTCTTAAGCTAGAAGAATACGATTATAATATTGTGTACAAACCCGGAAAAATTAATAAAAACGCAGATGCTTTGTCGCGTATAAAAATTAATCATTTTAAAAGTTGTTCTGATCTTCAATCAAACATTTCCGTTTTAGCCCTAGGTAAAGACATTCATAACCGCCCTTCAACTAGTTTTCAAGTACCCGACTCAGATGATGACGAAAATGACGACACTCACCCAATAACTGAAGAATATAATAGATTCGTACATTTATACAGAACTAAGTCAATTATAGATTATTCTAAAATAGAAATTTCTAACTCTCAGTTATTAGACAAATCTAATAAAAATATAGTCACATTTTTCTGGCAGACTAAATTACAAGATTTACATAATAAAATTTTAGACGATTTATTTGAAGAACATGCAGATGTTTCTTCTCATGACATTAATATTCTCAATAGTAAAACAGTTAAAGATCGTAAATATTTTATTATTCCGTTACCTTTAGATAATGAAACAGTAGTTCAACATCTTTTTTATATTCTTCATAAAGGAAAAAATAACTTTGATCTTTCACAAACCTACTGTATAGAAAATAATTTAGAGCTACCGATATTAGAACTTTTCTCTTTTATTTTTACTGACGACGACATAAAACTTAAGATATGTCAAAATGTTGTTCAAACTCCAGACCAAGATCAAATTCCTATTATTCTTGATCAGTACCACACTGGAAAAAATAATTTACATCGTGGAATAAATGAAACTATCAAAAGAATAAAAGAAAAGTATAATTGGCATGGTTTAACAAAAGATGTAGAGAAATTAATAAAAAGTTGTGAGATTTGTCAGAAAGTCAAAATCTGTCGTAAAAATCTCAGTACTCCCCTTGTCATTACGGAAACTCCTAAGACCCCGTTCGAAAGAATAAATATAGACATTTTTGAATTTCCTACTCGTAATTATGCTCTAACTATCCGAGACGAACTAACTAAATTTACACAGGCTTACGCAGTTAGTGACAAAAAAGCACATTCCATTGTCAACACACTTTTATTGTTTTTCCAACACTATGGTACCCCCTTACGGATACACTGTGACCACGGTCGAGAATTTGACAATAATTTAATGAAAGATCTTTGTGAATTATTTGATATCAAGCTAACATTTTCCAGTGTTAGTCACCCACAATCCAATGGCTCACTTGAGAGATTTCATGCAACCCTTACTGAAATGATTCGAGTTCATATGGCTGAACATCCAGAAGAACATCCATTTAATATACTACCCTATTCTGTTATTTGCTATAATAATACAAAGAATAAAACACATGGTTTTTCCCCTTACGAGTTAATTTTTGGCCATACATCAAGTAGACCTCCAGAAACACTTTATAATCAAAAAGCACTAATCTCTAAGTACATTCTTGATTTAAACAATAGAATGGAACACTATTATAAAGTAGCGAGATCTAGAACTAATCAGAAAAAGGAAAAAGCTAAAATTCGATTCGATAAAACAGTCTCTAAAAATCTTCCAAATTTTGCAATAGGTAATAAAGTATACGTTAAAGAAGCTCAAATAAAAGATAAATCGCATAATAAATTTAGTGGTCCTTTCGAAATTTTAGAACTTTATGGAACTTCCGCAAAATTAAAAAATTTAAATTCAAATCAAATTTCAAAAGTAAATTTTGATAGACTAAAACCATTCTACGAATAGTCTATTTTCTTTTCAGATTTCTCTGGCTAGTGCCAACAACAATCTCTCAAATCTTCATCACGCCCATAAACAACACCGTTGGAATATTCTTTCACGAAGAAGATACTATCCGAGTATCTAATAATAAGTGGACTCTTTTAGTGTATAAGGAACTCGAACCGATAAAACAATCTATTTCTAATAATGACAAAATTCTTTCTAACTTAATAGACACATTCGATCAATCTAACCCTCGAATGATATCATTTAAACCTACAATACAAACGCACGTTAATCTTTTAACTCAGATCGCTGACTCTGTAAATTTAAAATTTAAAGAAATTACAACAAAAACAAAGAAATACGAATTAAGAGCAAGACGCGGCTTAACCAATGGTATAGGCAGTATTTTTAAATCTATAACAGGCAATTTAGACTCTTCAGATGGAGACTATTACAATGAATGTATTAACAAAATTAATCGCGACGAAAGGGAAATAGAAAATTTATTGAAAAGTCAAATATCTGTTACTACATCAGTTACATCAAATTTTAATTCTACTATTAGAAAGTTGCAGATCGATGAAGAAAGTTTTAATGAAAACATCGCTGAAATTCAAACTTCTATGTCAAATTTATCCGATGATTTTGCATTTTATGAAAGTCAAATAAAAGCTCTAGACATATGCCAATCTCTAATGGAAAGTTATGTATTTTTAGAAGATTCTCTTAATGACATTTTGAATGCCATCACATTCGCGCGTTTAAGAATACTACATAGTTCTATAATCACACCTAGAGATCTAGTATTTTCTCTTCAAGATATTTCAAAATCTCTCTCTAAAAATAATTTACCTTTACCGACATATTCTTCCAACATTGGTCAATACCTTGACATAATAGAATTAGAGGCCTATCAAACAGAAAATAAAATTGTATTTGTTCTTAAAATTCCTCTAATCGAACCTGAAACTTATACTCTTTTTAAAATCTTTCCTATTCCATTATTGGATAATCGAACAGGTATTTACCACATTTTATCCACTTCAATAAAATTTATTGCGCGAGATGACAATTCTTTACTGTACATACTTCCTGAAGATCTAGAAACATGCAAGCAGTTACAACCTAATGTCAAGATTTGCTCTGATCTACTCCAGTTTCCAATTGACAGCGATGCTATTTGTGAAGCACAACTTCTGAGACAGACAAACAAACTACCCCGAACATGTCAGACGTCTCTACTCTTAGCAACCGACTACAACGTTCGAGAAATTGAGCAAAACTATTGGTTGATATCCATCTCCGATCCCATACCAATAACAATCAAGTGTGAAAATCGTGAGATGATTACCTATATGCTAAGAACAAATTATCTCTTAAGACTACAACCGAATTGCAACGCATTTATTGGAAGCACTCGGATACATTCCAAGCATCCGATACAGAAATACAGAAATGTTACTTACAGAAGCCACCCTGTAAAAATTCCCTTCGATTGCTGCACACATCTACCAGATAAATTTCATATTCCCGAGCTGAAACCAATTAAATTGAGTCATTTAGACATGGATGATCTCAATATAGCTCAACATAGGCTCAACCAATATTCAGAAGAACTTGACAAGATGACAAAACAACCCTTTGTCTCAAGACATCTTCACTGGTTAACCATCTTTACAATCGTTTTAATAATTGTTTTAGTTCTCTTCTACATCTGTTGCAAGTGCCGACAACGTAGAAGAACACCCACGCTAAGTCTTACTGATGGCAACGATCCACCGCCTCCCGAACCACAAGTTCATAGACTTCAACAGAGGTTCAGGAAGATCCTGCCCAGAAGAAGAAGCAGCATCCACCCAGAGGAGCCAATAGAAGAAGAAGCCTTCGAATTACGGTGTCCCTCCAATCATCCTTAAAAGTCGACGCACAGCATCAACTTTTTTAAATAATGGGGAGCTGTTATATTGGTTTTCCATCGACCTTTACACCTTTGCCGGTCAAGCACACCGATGGCCACATCCTGCCAATCGCCGCATCAGCGATATTGCGCCATCCGCAGTGGAAATCGCCGTAGCCGCGATCACACGGTGTCAGCAAATCAATTCTTTATTTAAGCCAATGTATTGTAATAGAAAAACACTTATAATTTTGCATTTAATAAAGCACGTTATAATGTCCGTTTAATTTTTGATTTTTAAATAATAATTTTAATAAAAAAAATAAATAATAAAATAATTAAAATAATAAAATAATTTACAATTAAAAAATAATTTTTTAAAAAGTGAAATCCTCCAGAAGGAATCCTCCTTAACTCACCCTGTACAGTATTGAGCCTTTAACTAGTTCTAAGCTCGGGGTTGGTAGATAAAGATCGTGCTCCGCATTCCTAAGTGAATAGTTGTGAGATGGCCTTTCGGGAATAGCGGATATGGGCTTGCGGATTAAGCAAACGGATTCAAAAATGAATAAAGAAGGAAAAGTCAGTATTTTGAAATTTTTAAAGAAATTCTGGCAGTGAGTTCTACTGTTCAGTCCTAATAAATATCGAATTGCTCTCTTTTGAAGTTTGAAAATACGATCAAATATCTTTATTTTTTTAATTTACTTACATCATTATAGGTTTAGTAAATTTTTATGTAAGAACTCTATATTGATAATATAATAAATAGCTCTTAGATCAATGCAAATACAATATTAGCAAAACAAATATTATAGGACAAATTAATAATATACAGGGTGTCCCAGAAATAAGTAAAAGTATTTTAAGGGGTGGTAGATCTCGATAAAAGAAACTTATTTTCTCTTTATCGTTTTTCAATTAAGTCGAAAATAACGGAGTTATTTTACTTTGAAAATTTCCAAAAAAAATGATTTTTTGTTCAAATTCTGAGACAAAAATTCTGTTCAAATTCTCAATGACACATTGTATACTTGTAATATTAATCAATAACTAATAATTAATAAACCTTTTTGTTGTTTCAGTCTTACGTTGTTTGTACTCTAGGAATACATCGTCTAAATTTAGTATTTTTAGCTATGGGATTGCTGCAATCAATTGCAGCGTGCACACTAAGCATGCTTCTTAGATCAATACGAAGGTACTATGTTGTAGGTAAGACAATATTTAACCTCAGTTCATTATCTATACTCACTCAAATTATACTCTAGCCGTTGGTTTTGCATTTCAAACATGCCTTATTATGGTACTACTATTATGGAAACCCATTGAAGATGATCCAGCACTTTTCTATGTTATATCAGCTGCATGGGGTGTTTGTAACGCTATTTGGGAAATGATTAGTTTCAGTGAGTATTTTTGGTACTTAATTATTTTTTTTAATGTAAAGATAGTTGAACCATTTTTGTAAAGAAAATTTATAACGGCTTAACTTATATAACTTTGATGCCTTTTCTGCCGTACTATAGATATATTTCATAAAATATATTATTTGGTATTCATTTAACAATTGAAAATTAAATATATTTTTCATTTAATTTCATAAATTTGGTACCTATAATATAAATTATATCATACACATATATTTTTTTTCCATAGCAACTGTTAAAATTGCCTTCCTTATATCTATCAAAAATAGTAGATAAAATAGTACTTTAACCGCAAGGGTAGATCAAATGATACTTTAACAGCGAGGATAGGTTAAACACTTTATTACTTCTCGCACGTTTTTTAATTGCTTCTATTTTTGAAATTTTTTGTATTCCTTTTCATAAGTTATTTGGGATTTAAATGGAAGTAGTTTAGATATGGCGTTTGTCGCCTCAGCCTGAATATCTGTTGGTAATTTATTTATTTTGTTTTGAGCCATTTCTGGCTCCAATTCAATCAGCAATCGACACGAAAGAGAATTAAAAAATATTGACTCAAAACTGACAACTAAAAAGACAGCTTTATTTATTTGTCAAATTACATAGAAACCAACGCCAACCCAGCACAATATTTTTTCTACTCGTAATAAGTTCCTTGAAATAATAATTTCTGAATATTTTTTAAAACGTACCTTGCTAAAAATATTGTTTTATACACGACGATAAAATTGCATTATCATCTCCCGAAATTAATTCACTCGGGATTTCATCGCTCGTGAATTAATCTTTTAATCTTTTTAAAATGGTCTTGTATAAAAAATAACTAAAAATAAACTAAGTATATTTATTTGTAATTTTTATTTGCAGCTTTACTTACTGGTCAGTATGCGGACAATTGGGAAGCAGCATTCGCCAACAGAACATTTTTTAAATTTATAGGGCTCTCTGTTGCGTTTGTGTTCCACAGTTTTTTATGCAATTACATGAAATTGTATTTACTGGCCATTGTCATGATTATATCGGTAATACCATTTGCCCTGCTGGAATATCGATTAGAACACATCAGAAAAATTAAAAACATTTCGCGATTATGACTAAAATTGACGCTATTTTGATCCGTTAGAAGGTATCTTTTGACGTATACATATCATATTTTCCGTACTTTTCATTACAAAAAAGCGAATTGGGTAATCGATGTAACGTTGTAGAATTTCTAAGAAATTGTATTTGTATAGTTGTATAAAATAAAAAAATCACAAAAAAAAATAAAATAAAATATATTTTACATCGGAACTAGTAGGTAATTATTGAATCGTAAGATTTACCTAACCAAATAACAGAAAAAGTAAAAGTGATGGTTGTATTAGATTTTAAACAATAATAATTGTGCATAGTATATTGGGATTGTTATTATTCTATTAAGTAATCTTTTGTAGTATTTACAAAATAAGCTTCTTTCATACATTTTTTACACTAAACAATTAAAAACGCAAAATAGTATTATGAAGAATAAACATATTAAAAATGTCATTAACAAAATTAATCTACGACAATGTCATTATGACACATTTAACATTGTCATTTGGATGTCATTATGGCTTTCATAATAGCACTAGTGCTAAAAAGGTACCTAAATACGTTTATTTATTGTAAACATTAATTATAATATCAGTACAATTGGTTAAATTAATTCCAGACGATGACAGGTGAGTTGAATTTTTAGAAAGTAAATTTATTTCCTGAGTGCTTGAACTTGTTGAAGACCCATCATTGCCAGAAATGTTACCCAAAATATTACATGACACTTTTTTCTTATTTTCTATGGAATTTTCTATATAGCTCTCTGCCACTGTGTGAGAGCGCCAACCACCATGTCTTTTAACAGTTAATAAATCCACTCCTGAATCTGCAAGCAACGACGCAGACGATCTACGGAAACAATGTCCAGTGTATTGTTGTGGATTTGGGAGACTTAGGAACAATGCTATTTTATACGGCATTTTCCCTAAAGTATTAATGCCAACGGGTTACTTAATACATTTTCCATTTCTGTACCCCACAAAAAATCGAGTATGCTCTGTGTTGCTTGGCCGCATATCTTCCATTCGCATTTCCACCATATTTATTCTTTCAACATTCCCTTTCGTTATAAAAAAATCCCGTGATATCTTTGTTTTCGTAAATGGAATAATGACATGAATGCATTGTTCTTCATCTTTAACATTTTTCAGCTACAGATTTGTTAACTCGATACGCCGGCAGGCTCCCGCAAGTCCCACTATCAATGAAATTTTTGTCAGGAAATAAGTTTTATCATCAGCTTCCAACAAAAAAACGATTATGTCTTCTTTTCTTAAAATTCTCGATTTTTTTGACCGAAATCCTTCCGATTTTCTTTTTAGAAATACAATTAAATGGACGTACTTACTAATATCACAGATTATACAGATTATAAACTTTGTTTTTTCTTTATTGTTTTTCGTGGTTCCAATTTTCGGAATCGGACACTAGTTAGGTTACTAGTTTGCGCACATAGCACGCCCACTTATGGCCTCTAAAATTGTGCACAGCGCCTGATCGGCACAGTTATTAGGGAGATATCGGAAAACCGAATAGCGTAATGCAGTATGTACGTGTATCATGGTTACGACAAAGAGTACACGTTACGATATGCGCGAGTCAATTTTTAACGCCCGCTAATAACGTTACCGCCTGACATAATTTACGGATCAATTACACCAAGCGCTATTTCTAAATAACGTTTAAAAATTGCTTAAATGGGCATGTGCGGGTATTTGACAACCGGGGCCGGCCGGCGGGATCTTTTATTTTAGGTTATGTTTGAATTGTTTTGAATTATTACTTGAGTTTTATTAGGTGATTTGATACTTAAGTAGCTGGGATTAGTTTTCATTAAGTAAATATGGCCCTAAATATGGATTCCACCTCTTCCAATACTAAAGAACCTATAAAGAGTCTTAGGTTTACAGCAGATGACGACTTAGCCCTTCTAAGAGAATTTATTGCTTGTTGCCCTAAACCCTCTGGCAGACGCTGAACAATAAAGCACTGGAAATAAGCACTTTAGCCCTTTAGTTTTAAAATTCCTAATAAACAAAACAATTTCAAAGTTTTAAATTCAAAGTTAGGTTAAGGTTAAATAGCGGACGCGTCGCGAACATTATCCGATCCGATAACTATAAATGCAGAGAGTTAATACCACCTCACGTAAAGGAAATAACACCTGGCCTTATTAACGTCCATGTACGCTATTCGGTTTAGCGATATCTCTCTATTACGCTGTTTATTGTTATTTTACGCGAGTTTATTTTTGGGCACAGGAAATTTTACTCGTTTGCACATCGTCATAAAAAACAATTTTTGTGCTGCGAATTAGGGACAAGATTTTTATCTGTATACTTATAGGATACCTAATCTGTGCTAATATCTGTATTTTTCTTCACTGATATAACTGAACGTAGCATGGAATAATATACCCAAAGTGATAAAGCCTTCCTATGTTTTGAAAGATGTTCAAAATATGCCAGGAGAACCCTCTCGTTACTACTACTCTTGATTCCTTTCCCTTTACACCAATCTTCAAGTTTTACATAGGCTTGCTCGTACGTTTGTCTTGATTTTTCGGGAAGTAGGGAATCGACAAAGTTTTGCGCAATGCCTTCAATATCCGAAGGGACACTTTCAGAATCAGAATCACCCATATTAATATTATTTTTTGCTTTTTGCTAAAACTGAACGTTTAACACAAAATTGAACATCAATAATTGAGTTGTCAAAGTCAAAATGGAAATAATCAACAAGCACGGTTACCACGGCGTCAACTAATGTGGGCACCTGATAATTTTTAATTTTAATTTTTATTAGGATATCTCTGATATTTTAAATTAAATCAAATCTCTTTGGATCGTCCCTCGTGTCGCGTCGTAGATTAAATTTTGAATGATACACGTTCAATACGAACTTTTTAATGAAACTTGTGTAACTAAGCCACTCGGCTAACATTATGATGTTCGTATCGAACTTGTATCATTAATAACTATTGTTGTATTAATTTTAGTTCTAAAATAGGCAGTATGCAGCTCTTTTTATTCAAAGATGTAGCTTTATGAAGTATTTTTTGTATGATTTATTTATGTGTATCATGTAAAGGTAATGTTTATGTAAGTAATATTTACAAGTAGACAAATATTTATGTGATTACAATTGTTAAATAATTTGATTTTTTGAGGCCAACTATTATAGTTTGATCATTAATTACTTCTTTTGTAAGCTATACAAATAATTTTGTTTTGTAAATTATATAGACTAATTAATTATGGCCTAAAAATATATGTATTCTTAAAAAATATATTAGTTTCAAGCATCTTTAAAATAGTTGAAAAAGCCCAGTCCGAGTTCTTTTTTTTTTAAGATATCCCCAGAAAACAGAAATAAACGTAGTAAAAAATCATACCGTACTGGCAACTCTTGGGTCGGTATTTACATGTGTGGAAGTAAATCGCATAGGGATTTTACTAAGTCGGATTGAGAGAAATGCGACGGAGTGCTGTTGCGGCGTTGCCGGTACGCCTTTCCCTATTTCAAGTAAAGTATAATCACGATCACAAACCGCTTATTTTTAAAAGACTTTTTTTTCGAAAAGATATCTAAATAAAATCATTAGATATGTTTCTGAGCATCTGAAATGGAATAATAAGGATATCTTTAAGGTGTCATTTTTTTATAACGAGAAAACGTCAGTAATCGCGATAATTTAAAAACTCAACTTTTTAACACATAACACGCCATAACTCAAGAAACACTTTCGATATTGAAACTTTTTTTTTATTTCAAAGAGAGGATCTTTTACAATATGTTTACATAAGAAAAAATCGATAAGGTTGATTTTTTCCATTCAGAAATTGTAAACAACCCATATCTATTTACTTTTAGAGCATAGCAATTTTCAGCAGTCGTGTAATTTTTTTATTGATAAAGATTTTCACTTACTGTCTACGAGAAATTTTCACTTACTGTCTACGAAGAAAATGCAGCAGAAATATTAAGAAAGATTTTGAAAAACTACAATCAATTATTTCTAATAGATTTCGAGATCGATTTTTGAAGTCTCGATTTAGAGTTCTAATAGCCCTACCACTGTCGAAAACCAACTCAATTCCACTTATTTTTACCAAAAATGCAAGTGTTTCTAGCTTGCACTTAAACATTTTCAAGCTATAGGGAAAATTACAACGACTCGTTAATAAATAAACAAATAATGTATCACGAGACGTAATTAAATCGTGAAGCTGAACGCATGATGTACACCTTTCCCTAGAACTTTAAGTACTGACAGAGGTACTGATTGGGTATTGGGTCGACCGGTCAACTGCGACAAATCTGCATATCCCCTACCACGTCTCTTAGCAATGTGCACAGTTTCTCGATTCATTTCATACGTTTGGCAACGTGTTTACAGTTCTCTCTTTGTCCTGTACATTATAAACGCATTGTACTCTTCTTACATACGGAAATCTCGACCCAAGACTAATCTTTGCCAGCCCTTAGTATGCATATATGTCCTATGCATATTACTGATAGACTTTTTAAACAAATATTTATATATTTTGTTATATATTTGACTTATCTTAATTTAATGTACAAAAATTATAGCTTATAGAACAGACTTCGACGTGTAATTTTTGTTTTTCTTTATTATTGTAAATATTTTTTAATACAGCTGCTGTAATTTATATAATATTAATCACAAGTATTAAAAATATGTACTTATTTAACCGTATGCAAACTTTTTGCAAATTCTGTGGATATACGTACGTATAGCTGTTTAGATATATTATCTTTGTATATTCTAAGATTTATAATTTTACTGATGTTGATCCTATTTGGATATATTTAAGTATACCACTATTGGTATTATGACTAGGTCAGACATGGCTAGTTTCTTATGGTGTAAGCGGATATATTCTTCTTTTTCTTAAATCGCATTTTTTTGATTTATATTAATATTTGTAATACTAAATATGAATTAATTATCTAATTACTTATGAATTATACAAGCTATAATGGATTATTAGAATCAAAAATACCAGTTTAGAGGAATTTCTTATTTAGGCCTTAAAATTAAAGATATTGGATATTATTGTTAAAAAGAGAAAAAGTAATTGCCATGTCCCCAAAATAATT